ATATATATTTAATATTATAAGTAAATTTTAAATGAAAGGTTAATTATATATGTTAAGTTAGCTATCATGTCATGTTATGGATAATATTTATAAGTAATAACATAAACACAGTGCGCATAACTTTTCCTTACGATATTCTTTACATAGAAATGTGGTAAAATGGATGAATATTAGGAGATTAATGAGCTATATTATTTAAAATAGTAAAAAGTAAATTTTATATTATTTAATAATTAATTATTTTTATTTTATTAAAATATTTAATTTTATATCACTACAAGAAAATCCATATTTAGTAACTAAATTATTAGTTACTAAATCTTTATTTTCCGTTCCAAACTAAAATTAACAATGAAATTTAAATTATTAATAAAACTCTTATCACTAATACTTTTATTAACGAATTTGACACTTATCACATAAATAATTTTATAGTGATGAAAAAAATCTACACTATTAATGAGTTATTTGTAACAAATTTAGTCATCACAAAAAGAATTTTTGTTACAATAATTTCCATCACAAATGTTATAATTGAGTGGCAAAAAAATAGTCACAAATACAATTGTGATGAAAATTTTAGTTATTAATTATTAAAATCGATATTAAATCAAAAAGATATTTATATAATTACAACAAAGATATTATAACAAAATTCATGTCACAAAAAAATTGATATATAAATTTATCACAAAAGTTTAATAAAAATATTATTATTTCAACACTAATCAATGTTAATTAAAATTAATCAAGCCCAATTAAAATTAATCATCCCAAACTAAGCTTAAGTTTTATTGAGTTTCACATGTTTTATGGTGTAAAACTTTATTTTCTTAAATATTTATTATCGATGTGAGATATATTTATTGTGCAAAACCTTATTCTTTTATGTGTTTTTTATCAATATAAGATGCATTGATTAGAGAAAATTTAAATAAAGCTGAATTGTAATGATAATTTTTATCATCACAAGTATATATATTTTTTGTGACAACTTTTAGTGACGAAATATATTTTTAATAATGAATTATTTGGTCATCATTGAATGTGTAAGGTATTTGTGACTAATATTTAAAATTTGTCTTAATTATGATGAGTTATAGTGATGATTTTTATTGTTATAAACTTATTTTTTATTTGTGACTATTTGTAACCAAATTTATGTCACAAAAAAATTGATATATAAATTTATCCAAAAGTTTAATAAAAATATTATTATTTCAGTACTAATCAATTTTGATTAAACTTAATCAAGCTTAAACTAAACTTAAGTTGTACTAAGCTTCACATGTTTTATAATGCAAAACTTTATTTTCTTAAATATTTCTTATTGATGTAGAATATATTTATATTGTATAACTTTATTTTTTTATGTGTTTTTTATCGATATGTGGTGCATTGATTAGAGAAAACTTAAATAAGGCTAAATTGTGGTGATGATTTTTATTAGGATAATGATGTGTGTACACTCGGATCCCACACCCGGGTGTGCACACACCATATAAACAAAACAAAAAAAAAAAACCCATCACACGGTCCAATCTTTTTTTTTTTTTATGTGGGGGGTGCACACCAGGTGTGGGATTTGGGTGTGCACCAATCAGTGTCCTTTTTATTATCACAAATATTCTTTTTGTTACAATTTTTAGTTACGAAATATATTTTTAGTGATAAATTATTTGGTCATTATTGAATGTTTAAGGTATATGATCAATATTTAAAATTTGTCTTAATTATAATGAGTTATAATGATGATTTTTATTATTACAAACTTAGTTTTTTATTTGTAACCATTTTTCAGTGATGGAATATCTTTTTAATGATGAATTTTTTTTTATCATTATTGAATATACTTGCATTTGTGATTAATTTTTAAATTATGTTACAAATGTAATGAGTTACAGTGTTGATTTTAACATTCGTCACAATTTTTTGTGACTAAAAATCTTATTTCTTGTAATATATATATATGTATCAATTTATTTAATAATATAACTTATATTATATCAATAATTCTAAATTTTCATCCTCTATACCATTACTCATTTACATAACCCACATCTTTCAAAGTTGGCATATGTAAATCTCAAATGTAAATCCTAATAGACGAGAGAAAGACCTCACAATGAGCTCAATCAAAACATTTGTACCAATATTTCAATTTAAGAAACAGCCTTTTTAGTTAATTCTGGAGTTGGACCTGGCAGGTACCTGGCATTAAAGCATGCTTAATTACACTATCAGATGATCTAACTAGCTAGGACAGTAGGAAGCATCCTCCCATTACTGTTGTGTTCCATTTTAGTTGCACTCAATACTCATCCTTTAATTTTTTTAGTAAATGCTGCTGCAAACTTTAAGTCTTTCAGGTGGTGTGAGTAGTTCTCCTTTTATTGCAAGTTTGAATTTGGAAATTACAATTCAAAGGTTTTATGCTTAAATTAACGAATCATTTTTTACTAAAGAAATTATTGTACATATTGAAGTTATGGAAGACATTATTTTCTTGAGAGAATTTCTGATTTTTACTTAGATTGATCACTTGATCATTTCTAAGTTTAGACGGGAGAAACCTAAAAAGAATGACTTGCTTTGTTGTGGGAAATTTTGGATAAATTGTACAGACTAGAATATGAATTTTATTATTTTTTATTTGAAAATATAAAATTTGTTAGTTTTCAAAATAAGATAATAATTTTTAATTTTTTATTTAAAAATATTAATTTTGTGTTTTTAATTAAAAATATTAATTTTATGTTTTTATTTAAAAATTAATTAAATATTTAAAAAAATCATATGTCACATTAATGTTATCATGTAATTAATTCTTAAATAAAAAATA